AAAAATAGCATTCATCTCGGGTTTCTTGCCCTATTTTAAAATCTAATTTGAAAAATCGATTTTCATTATATTTTGTTTCTAAATGATTTAAATTTTGTGCATGGTTCTACGTACGTACATATTACGTAAGTAACATTTTAAAAATACTACACCTTAAGTTTTTGAAATATGATTTAAAGTCTTTCTTGTTAATCTATGACTATACATACTCCGTATAAATGGTTATGTTTGAAAATAAAATGTATAATAATATCGAGAGGCGAAATTAATGCGTGGATATACAGACATATATGCATATGTATATACTATGAACCCATATATAATACACAAATAAAAAAATGCGCATAATGCACTAACAAAACGTCCAATTAAAGCTAAAAGCCATAATTGGTCTTACAAAAGACCGAAAAATGAGGATATAAAAGTGAAAATATGTATATAGTGTATGCTAAAAACTTTTTAGCTACGTATGTACGTATGCATGTATAATTATATCTATAGCTAATATCTTTCTTAATTATTACACATGTAAATTGTAAGTACATATGATATGTACTTACACACATACATACATAATATGTACACCTTACTTAAGCAAATATAAATTCTATGTACATAATATGTACATACATATGTATATATTTTTGTTTATAATACCAATTTGCATTTAGACCTACTTAGGAATAAGTCGTACAAATGCTTTCATACAAAAATATTTCATCGAAACACTGCTGCAAATTCTTTATTAATTTCTGCAACGAATATGAGTGAATTCTATACTAAATACATACATATATGTGTGTGCACACTATTTATACAGTTCCAAGGCTTCAGATCAGCATTTCTTAAATAACATTAATGTCAGCCAGTTTAACATGTCGTTTAAAGTGCTATATTATCCTACGTCTCTTCCGATAAAAAAGTCTACTGAAACAGCATCATATACATATGTACATATATACATGCATACAAAAATATATACATACATACATACATACATATATTTATACAAAACCTATGCACAAAAATATACACACATATGCACAAACATATATGACTAAAATTTGTATAGCCTTAATTAAATATTTTATATTTATGTAATCTTAAATAAAAATTTTTAAAAGAGAAGTCGAACAGTAAGAGATTCTAACTGTTAAGAAAAGGAAAATGTGCATATGTACATACATACATACATGCAAACGCAAAATAGTATAATACAAGTCAAAAATTATTTTATTCACAAGAATGTACATATTCATAAACAATGTATTTATGTACACACATAGTTTATATATGTATGTATGTATGTAATAAGAGACCACTTTAAGCTGGATATCTTTATTCACTGATTTTGAGCGAAGATAGCCAATTTTCGCGATGGTTTCCAGAATACGATTTATACATTCGGCGAATTTTCTTAATACACAAAATAAAATTTATGTGCACATAACTATGTTATTAAGAAAGTAATAGATAGCAGTCTAAAAAAATACATCGTGTATAAACTGCGCTGACTTGATGTCATTGTTAAATGTATTTGATTGACGAGTGGTCACAGTCACCGAAAAACTAGGTTAAACCAAAATTTTGACACCCCGAAAAGTCCACACGCTCAGTACGTGTACCAAAACAATCATCACTCGAAATCGGCGCAAAAAAGAAACCCATGATATTTGCGAGCAATAATTCTTTCACGAAATAAAAATTTAAAAAATTACTCAGTCAAAAAAAAGATAATTTACTTAAATTTTAATTTGCTTTATATGAAGCTACACTTCATATAAAAAAAGTACAAAACTGAATCCCATACAAAAATTTGCTTACACTTTCATACAAGTGAAAAAAAAATGTTTTTCAAATAACTTATTTATTAAAAAAAAAAACGAGACAAAACTTAATGTTGAGCTTACATTTATTTCTATTCCGAAAGGGGATGTATTCAAATAAGTCTAATCGATCGTTTACATAGGTAAGTTACTTTAATAAAATTAAACATATTTCATCGTTTACATAAGCGTGAAAATTTTATAAAATTGATAGTGACTTAATATTGAGAAATGTGAATTTTTTTGCTATAATGACGATAGGCTTTTGCAGACAAAAGGAGTTACGTTTTTGTGTACATTTTGCATGTTGCAATGATTGTTTTGCAATATTGAGTCTTATTTCTTTTCTTTTTTAGTAAAACATCTACAAAATTCTTTTACATTGAAATCTGCTACTTCACAACTAATTCTGCGCAAAAATGTGTAAAAACAATAAATAATATATTTGAACACCGTTAAGAATAGTTAAAATTTTCTCATCTTCAGTTTATGCAATCCTCATTATTAATACTTGGAGTATTGTACACGCTGAAGATGAGGTAGTATTGAAAAATCTCGAAACGCGTTTTAAAAATAAAATGATTACAGTCGTTAGAAAATAGAACTTACTCATTTTTTGACAATGTCAAAAATATGTGTTAATATACAATTTGTCAAAAAGTTAAATAATAATTTTGGGTAAAAAAACATACACACAGAAGACAAACCTTATTTTTTACTAAGGCAACTGAATTGAAATTTAATAAGGCCTCGTGATGGGAGCTATTTGTATAATAAATTTAAAATATTACTCAGAATCATATCTGTGGAATAAAAAGAAATCAATTGAACGAAGACGTAGTTTTTTAAACCATGAAATGACAGCTATTGAACAAAAAATTTGTATCACACAATAGTAAACCGAAATGGCTATTGACTAAACTGAGTTTTGGTATGTTCAGTTTTTCTTGTTTTTTCATTAGGTTTTTTTTAGATAATGATGACTGATAAGATATAAAATTATCAATCTACTTCATACATAAATCTGTATTTATGGGTGTTTGCAGATCTAATCTAAAATGCAGATCTAATGTCAAATTAAATTGTACAGTAATTAAAAGCATTCTAAAACTTGCCCTATGTATAAAGCAACAAAACAATAATATTAGAATGGCTTATGAAATTGTCAAAAATAGAATGAAAAGAAAAATAGTAGATAACTAAATGAAAAAAGTGTTCCCAACTTTTTATATTCAATCATTTTGAAACATAAATTGGTAAAATGAAAATTAAAATGTGTTGCTGAAAATTAGGTGATTACACATTACATCTGTTGGTGACAAACCACTACAAGTTTCTGAAGCCCATCTTTATAAGTTTTTTTATGTATTGAATTGGTTTATTGATATCATTGATCATCTTTCATTAAAATGGATCACAAGCTTTGTTGGCAAGAAGTCTGAAACATAATAATATGTTAAACATTTATACAAAAGTCGTGGATTATTCTACGTATCAATAATTATCATTGTTGTTCTGAGTTAAAAGATTTATTCTTTTAAACGGCAAAATTATTATTAATGAAACGGCAAAATCAAATGCTGAGTATCTAAATAAGATATTCTTGTTAAGATATCGAGGACTTTATTTCAACTAGCAATAAAGTACTTGTGCTAGTTTATTTTATTGGTTATATTTGTCAACATTTATATGAAAAGCGTGCTCGATTTTTTTGATACTCCACTTACTTTTATTTTACGTATCAACTACGTGAAGTATACATATAGAATGCCTTTAAGAAAAGTGTACAGTGTCAAGAGTTTTTACTAAACTTCTTGAAATGTGATTCTTTGTAAAAGTTGCATTGTAAATGAATTGTTGAAGTCACGGAATGTGTGTACATATATGCATTATATAAATATGTATGTAAGAAAACCCATACGTAAAATCACATTACTTCTTACCTTTCTTAAAGTAGCTGTTACAAAATCGTTTTTTTCTGCTTTATTTTTACAATTAACCTTGTAATGCAAAAAATTAAAACAGTACTTCTGACAATAAGTATATATGTATATGCACGGCAATGTTACAAGTTATGATAATATGCTCTAAGCTGCAGTCGATCTAAAAGCTTATTTCCTTTAGTTGACAAAACTTACTTTTACATTTATCTATAAACTATAAGAACTAATTTCTTAAGCACAATTTCACACAAACTAGTGATGTGCAAGTACCAAATACTAGTTTTTTCAATCCTCGTAGAGAATACTCGCACATAATCTTTCATTCCACATCATTTACCTAGCATTAATTAATGCTATCTTTATAAAGTTAAAGGGATAATCAGAGTGTGACAGATTCGTATTAGAATTGATTCATTTGTTGTTGTCGGTGCGCTTATTACATTACGATGTTAATTAGATTAAAATATTGAAATTATGTATGTATAAGTTGAGAGATTTTATAATTTTTTTTTGCATTTAATACTGTCAATATTAATGTATTAAATGTAAGTGTAAAATTAATGTATGTAAATGTAAGTGTAAAATTAAAATTTAGCTCAAATATCGTAAATTCACATTATCATTATAATTATATATATTTTGTTAAAGAACTTCAATATGCTTTTTCTGATATCTTCGGAACCATTGCTCCTAACGGTTTAATTCAAAAAACGTAACAGAAGCTAAAAAAATCTTATAACAGAACGGCCATTAGGCCTTTTTTTACATTTACTATTTTTTTGGTAAAGTCGAGTGGCTTTACTTTTAAATTTTTTTTGCAAATTGATGTTTTTTTTAAAAATCCAGGAATAGGTTTTTTTAAATCATGTCTGTCCGATTTCTGGTTCCTACGCTACAAAGCTTTATTACATAATTCATTACACTCTTAAAAAAATTTTTTAGGAGTACAAACGATTGAAGAGGAAGTCTTTAAAAAAACGAATTTATTTCTTCCTTCTTCTTTTCTCTTTTACATTAAAAGGGAATGTAACACAATATCTTTAATTTGTCAAAATAATAATTTAACCTTCTTTAATAATTCAATGTGTTTTAGAGAGTGGGTAATTTATGTTCCGTTAGTCGGAAAGTGAAATTATTTTCACAAAAGAGAATTGAAGAATTTTTTTTCTACTTGGCAATGCTTTTAAAAGTCAATATGACAAGAGTATGACATTTTAGAGTCGAACTGATTTAACAGTGATTGTGCGATCATAACATTTCTATTTATTATTTTTTCATATTGGTTAATAAAAAATTGATTTATATTATTTTACCGAAAAGATTTGAGTATTATTAAGCACTGTAGAAATTAAGATCAGATTATTTAAGGTGCTAATTGTTATTGATTTTAGAATAGTTTAATTATAATATTCAAATGATTTTACTATTTTATTAAGGAAATTAAGATTGAAAATTAAGTTTTGAAAATTGTTCATTTGCTTTGTTGGAGTTTTATGATGAAATTTGTTGCTTTTATATGACGTTTAATAATTGATGTCTAGTTTTATTTCAAATTATAAATTACAAAGGGAAAGAGGGAAATCAATTGTATGATTAATATGATATGTATTATATTAATTCAATTCGATAAACCCATTTTTTGATAAAAGACCTTGGTTCAAGGCCATCATATCGAAGACTAAATTAATTTACATACATAAAAAAGTTGATTGTAACTTGTCTTGTGTTTCTTTATTTCAGGTAACTTTCTTGCAGCAATGCAAGAAGAGCTAGTTTTCCTTGACATTTTGTAATTAAAGGAGGTAAAAATAAAGATCAAAATTACTAAATAAAGAAAAAAACATAGAAAGAAGATTTTAAGTAATTATCCGGTTTAATAAATATTGGAAGAAAAAGTTTTTAAGGAGCTAATTGACACTATTAATAAAAAGTGTTTGAAGATGACGGATGCTGCGCCAGTTCCAGGTTTGAATCAAAGACGAGACACTGATGCAAGAGGTGACGGAAATAATAATCCTGATGTAATTGCTTCTCCTCCAATCAATAACAATATAAGAGTGAGAAATAATCAGGTCAGTATAATACTATCCACAATGTATACTTAAATGCAGCGAAAAAATTATTTCAACACTTGTGCACCTATTATATTTTAAGTACTTATAACGAAATTTCAGTATTTGCTTTCCAAATTGATTGTATTACTGTGGGTAATGCAAAATTAAAAAAAAAAATTTAGCTCGGTTATTAAAATTTAAAAAAATTATGCTGTTACGTGTAGTCACTAAATACGTAATTTTTATAGGTATGCAATAAGTAAAGGGCAAGAAAAATTTTTTGACCTTTGTGAATAAATAAATAAGTAGTTGTTTCAGTTTTATAAAATTAATAGCTTCTGAATATACATAGTTGACAAATTGTTAAAACAGAAAAATTTTATAACATATGAAAGTATGTCAAATATTTGTGTATGTATATATGTACCTGCATATATTGGTTTTGGAATTTTTCATTCCTTCAAAAAAAATCTTTAAACTTCTAATTTAGTTTATCTTTTGTTTATTGACATTGTTTTTATCAAAAATTTAGTATTTCAATGAGTTAAATGGTTGGCAGAATTAAGCCCTTGAGCGCTTAATGACTTCCTGACTAATGTTTTGTTTTAATTTTTAATAAGAAAAAAACGATAACGAATTTCCTTCAAGAATTTTACATTTAGACGAATTTTGCTAATGAGAAACAGTTTTAAGTAGGTAACAACCTACTTGCATTTGAAAATTTAAATAACTGTTTTTTGAATGTATATATGTAACCTATTATATTATCCTATTATAATAGTATATATAACCTATTATAAGTTATATATACTAAACCACAAATATGCTAATTATTTTATAAATTTGCAGCAAAATCCACTGATTAATGTACGTGACAGGTTATTCCATGCACTCTTTTTTAAAACAGCATTAGCTTATGCGCAAATTTTCCCAAAGTAAGTAAAATATTTTCCATTTAGTTTCAAACTTAAGTTAATTTTCAAACATTTATATTTTAGGCCACTTCGAAGGGGATTTGAGCTATTTATATTACTAAAAGCGCTCCTTGCTTTTTTCACACTATTTTATATTCATGTTGCTTTTCTTAAAAGTCCGGCTACCTGTTTGGAGCATGTAAAAAATGAGTGGCCGCGCGATGGTGTTTTAAGGTATAAGCTTGAAAAGAAATTTTAATTGTTTTAATTACACTATGTCATTGAGTTTAGTTAATTAATGAAAGTTGAAATTGTACGAAGTTTCGGATTAAAACTTAATGCATATGGTTTTGTTATTAATTTAATTAAATATAATGCATACATATTTTAAAATTTTTGTTTACATTCTTCTTCCATATTTCCACGTTTTCTTTTTTAAAATTTTTCGACTTTCATAAATTACTAAAATTAAAATTAATCTTTAATTCAATAATTAAGTAATGAATGTTTTAGAGATTTATTAAATATTACATTAACTGAAAATTTAAATTAAAAAAAAGTAGTTATGTTTGGGAGATATTGTTTGTTTAATTTATTTAACTTTTTTTATTTACATTCTAGAGTCGAAATTTTGAATTCAGATTTTCTAACGTATGAGCCAAAGGAAAAATCTAACAATGGAAATCAGCCTTTGAAAGGCTTTAAACTTAATAAGTAATAAAATGTTGGTATTTAATTTTAAGGAACTAATTTTCTAATTGTTTTTTCAGATATTTTGACTTGGAAAATGTTTATGGTCCATATCCTGCTTCCAAATACGCAAAACAGCAAACTCAGAAACTTACAAAACAAGGCCATAGTATAAATAAAAGTTACTCAAATGAAACTCTTTTGGAAAATAGTAAATATTATGTAGATGAAGATGTTGATTATCATGACGTTGAAGAAGAGCAAAACAAAGAGAATATAAAGGAGTCGGATAAATTGACTTATGATGGTTGGAAAATTTTATTTTTGATATTTTACAAAAACCAAAAATTCCTCTTGTCTTTAGAGGATCAATACATTGTGGAATACTCACTGGAATATGGTCACTTAAGATTGTCTCCAGCAACTAGAAAAAAATTGAATATTCCGGTTTTAAAAGTAGTTCTAGATCCATCTAAGGACAAATGTTTTGGAGACTCATTAAGCCGATATTTATTACGTGAATTTTTGGGGTATGTTGATGTTTTATAAAGCTTTGGTGTAAGGATGTTCTGAGTGAATTGCTTTATTTACATCAACAGATATGGATCAAGATTTTAAAATTTGTTTATTTTTGAAAAAATTCACAGTGGTCTATAACTCAAACCATTATTTCCTTCCTCTTAAAATTTTCTTTTAATTTACATACATATTACTTTTGGTATTCGAACTTTTTTAAACTAATTACCATATTTTTCAGAACATAATTATTTAAATTTGTCATTTTTCATTAAGGTAGAATAATTTTATTTGAATGTTGCATTTTATTAAAAAAATGAAATTATTTTATCATTATATTGATTTTTGATCGGCTTTTTAGTTATGATGATCTATTAATGGCGTCAGTACGTGTTATAGCTGAACAAGAAGATAATAAAGGTTATTTAAGGTAAAACAATACTAAATTGGAAAAAAGTTTCAAAAATAAATTTTAATTTTTATTTTAACTAAAAAATAAACAAAAAAGAAATGTTGTTACTGGAGAGCATTATCGTTTCGTTTCAATGTGGTGGGCAGCGTGGAGTTCATATCCAACGGCATTCTGTGTCATGATTTTATTTGTAAGTTCGTATAATATTTTTTGGTCAAACTAATTTTTAATTCTGAAAATATCTTTAGACGGTTTCTATCTCTATGCTATTGCGATATTCTCATCATCAAATATTTGTGTTTATAGGTAATTATTAATTTGTTTAAACATAATTTCTTAACCAATAGTTTATGCTTTTAGTTGATCTTCTACAAATGTTGGAATTTAATATATCAGCTCGTTTTCCATTCGCTCCACTTCTGACAGTAATATTAGCTTTAGTAGGTAAGTTTAAACAAGTTTTTGTTCTTCAAAAATCAGTCATTTAGTAAATACATTTTGCTGTTTAAGCATGTTCATTCTTTCGACAGTTTTGTTTTAATCTTTAAATGCAGTATAAATGGTTCAATTGTGCTGTTAGAAAATCTTAGTTTTTAGTGCAAAGAGCGATTTTTGTGCGAAAGCTATTTAGTAAAAGTCTGTTATTGATAGAATTCGGTAATATAATACTTTGCCTTGTTAATTATTATACAACTAATAAGCAAATCGATTTAATAAACCGTAGTAATTTTTTGCTATATTTGATCTTTCAATCGATCAACTAAGCATCGTTTTATTCCTTTATTCGGAAATTCTTTCATCTTCTCAAACAAGGAAAATCACTCGCAAGTCAACATTGCCTGTAATTAATTTATTGAGTGCTGAACGAATTTTTTAAGGGGTATTATATTTTATTGGTTATTATTGTTAATGAGATACTGACTATAGGGTACATGGATGTAAGCTTATGTGTTTTTTTTTTTGTTTAAAAAGCTTCCTATTTTTGTACGTTTATAATTATGAACATCATGTCTAGAGGCAAAGTAAGTTGTTAAATTTCAGCAAATGGATATTTTGAGGCAATAACTGAGATTTGCAAAATTAAAACGCATACATATAAATTAATTTATAATAATTTGCATTTCTCTCCAAAAAGACAATTTACTAGTTGGGATGTAAAAAAAAATAAACACAGTTTATGTACTTATGTTTTTAGAATTATAATATATCTTGTAAGATTTCAATTTCCCAATTTTTTATTTTTAATACACAATATTGAATGTAATGTTCCGACAAAGAAAGAAGTAAATACTATTGCAAAAAGAATATTATTTATTATAATGTCTGTTCAAAAATACAATAGTATAACTATTGTATATCAAAAATATAAATATGTGTTTATGTATGCACAAAATGATTTTATATGTATTTATATGTATTTTACATATATGTATTACATTTCTTCATTTTAACCTGACTTAATCAACATATCCTTTAAAATACTTTTAATACCTGTTAAAGAATAATAAAAAAGATTTCCATACGGAATATTTTTGGACAAGGCCAATTAATAATCTTAAAAAACTTATATAATCACAATTTATCCTTTTTTAAGGGATTGTATTGAAAATATGTTTATATTTTTATAAATAAGAACATATATAAATAAAGGTGAATAAGAATATTGGTGTATAAATATATACATGCACATATAATATTTGTTTCAATTTCATTTTAAATGCACATAAATGAAGGGTGAAAAACTTTTAATAAAGGGTATATTTTTTTCTTGCTTTAGTTTCTTTATGTTATGTTTTCTTTTTTCATTTTTAAATAAGAGTTGTGTTGTTGGAATGATAAAAGTTTATTTTTGGATTAGGAGATTCCGTTTAAAATGTTTTTGAGAAAAATTGCATTTTTATTTTGAAAGCGTGCACTGTAATATTTAAACTAGTGTGCTCAGAAAGCTATTTACTTCTTGAATGTTCGGAAAATTAAAATATTTATTGAAAATCAATGAGAATAACATCAGCAATTGTTCATTATGTATCTAGATTTCTTTTTAATTTTGAAGAATTTTCCAGTTCGTGACAATTTTTCAATGATTTTTCCTAATATTTAAAGAACAATTAATGAAAAATCAAAATAAAAATTTATATCAAATCTTCTTAGTTATACTCACACAACTTTATTATTTGATTCCGATTCTTATATAAAACTTTTGATTAAATTTATATGTAAATAAAACGAGGATCAATTGTAAAAACTCATTATATGTATTGTGACGTTTAATTTTCATTTGTAAGAAGATTAATTAGAAATTATAAAATTTCGTAAAAGTGGGTTTTAAATAAAATAGTCAAATTATATTTCAAAGTTTGTATGTTGTATGTATGTAATATAAAATGTACAAAATTGTGCAGTGTGCAATTCAAAATTTTTAATTGAAAAGTTTTTATTGCCTAAGGATGCAAATATCAAGTGCATGTACATAGTAAACATGTACATATATTGTTTGCATATCTAAGTAACTCAAATTTTGATTCAATATTTTTATTTACATTTTGCTGAAGCAGTAAATGATGAAGCATAGATGGATTTAAAAAATCTTTTAGATAAAATAGGAGATAAATTTATTATGGCATTTTTTTAAGAAAAAAAAGCAATAAATTATTAATAATCTTTAATAATTAAAATTTTTTTCTCAGATAGTAGTATTTATTCGAAATTTATTCTAGTATGCAAACAGTCATCTTCTAGTTTAATACATATTACTCTTTTAAAAAAAATGTTTTCAATTGACTAATTCAAGTAATTTTGAATATGAATTTCATATTGTTTTTTTAAATAAAATGTATACATACATTTTATATGCCATTCAATTTTGTTTGAGTTTAAAATTGATTTTTATAGACAGATTGAAATAGATCAAATTACTACAAACAAATTGCTATAACCTTACGTATTATGTCATATTTCAATTTTTAAAAAAAAAAATTGTTTGCCTTGTTTATTTTAAGTCAGTTTTCTTATTATGTTGTTCATTGATTTCAAAAAAATTCGGTATATTACGAATTTCTAGTTGAATTATGCCTTTGTTTTCTAAAATACAGTTTAGGGTTGCATTTCAAATAATTTTACAAGAAATATGTTCTTTGACATATTAACTAAGTACATTATGTATTTAAAAATCCTAATGTTTTGCATGCCATTGTATGGAATTAAGATTTTCACCTTATACACTTTTTTATGATGCACTTAAATTTCAATGGAATTTTAAAATAAAATCGGATTTCTACCAAATTCTTTCTTTTTTTTATTCTAAATGTACAAAAACCAATGTTTTGTTTCCAATTACATATAGTACATACAAATTATCAAAACGAAAATATTTTGTAGAGTGACCAATCATATTTTGAACGTGAGATGTACAACTTTTTTTTCCGAAAATTTACTTAATTTTCAAATTAATGAAAAAATGAATTAATTTTATAAAGTACACGATGTGCATCTAATTGTGACTCTAATGTAAAAAATTGTATCAATATGATGTTATGGTACAATTCGAAAATTCTAAATTATAGAACTAGAATTTCATCTATAAGCAATTACAAGTTATAGATTGATTACAAAATCAAAAAAATACTGTATTACTGCAAATTGTAGTATGTGACTGTATAATGTATTTAGTCAATTGTTTAAATTCGTAAAATGTGATGTAATTAAAGTGAGGACAGGGGTTTTGTAATTAGCAGTTAAATGAATGATTGGTAGAGCATCATTCTTTTTAATTTTTTCTTAACATTTTGTCACAAATTATTTTTGATATCTGGTAACATAATAACTATTTACTGTTTTTTGGTCACTAAATACGAATATTCAATTTTAAAATGTTATATAAAAATAATATACCAAAAGGGTTAAGATTTTCTCTAATTAGATATTCATAATGTGTACTGAAAGTATGAATGGTTACTAAAATTCGTATTCATATTTTGATTATATTTATTTTGATGGAATTTAAATACTGTAAGAAAGGAATTTCTATATATACATATGGACATATGTATATATATTTAATCCGTATGATATAGGTATTTATTTATATGCATTGTAAAATATGAAAATAATCATGTTTGCCGGTGTCAGACGTCATACTGCATAAGCACATATTTACCAAAAAAAAAAAAACATTATTTTGTATACTTACATAATTTTGGTTTTATAAAAATTTTCGTACAATTTTAGTTTTTCATTTAATTTTTGAATACTTTAAAAAAATTGAAAGAACAAAATGGTTTAATCCGTACCCATACAATGTATGTTAATAAATGCTTTTTATAGTGTATATAGGTTCATATGTATATAAATATTATATGCTTGTATATTTTACAATTTATATTGAAAAATTTTCGTTTCATTTTTAGTCAAAATATAAATTTTAAAGATATTATAAGTATGCATAGATTAAAATCGTGAATTTGAAAGGATTTGTTAAAGATTGAAGTTTTACAAAATACAAATTTTTATGATATAACTAACATACACATGCCGTACAAATGAATAGGTTTCAGAGAATTCCTAAATATTAAAAGCATTTTTTAACTAAAAGCAAAAATTATACTGTAAATTTTACTATGCATTTTATGCATTACAATGTACATTTAATATTATAATCTGTAATATTTTTAGAGAATAACCATTGTATATGATAGTATTTCATTAGTATAAAAATTTTATACATGGTGGCAAAATTTGATTTAATCAGATTTTACATGGTTTATAGGGTATGCTTGAAATATGGGGAAGGAAATAATTGCATATATAGATGAATCTGTAAATATTTATAAAATATTATAATTTATTGAAAGGGTATATGCTGTTTTCGATCTAAATACAAAAATATTGAAACATTTTTCAAAATAAATTTTTCTAATGCTGTAAATTTACACAATACATTTTAGATTTTAGTATTTTTTGTTATTATAATTATATAATAAGCCTTTTTTTCTTTGTTATAATTCATTGAATTTTTTTTACAATTGTAAAGTAATGAAGAATTGAGCAAAAATTTAAAAGTTTTTGAATAATTTTTCAAAACGTTTCAAATTTTATGGAAAGGGTTTTTAATTACTTTAAATTAATTTAAAATTTTAACACTCACCTCTCTATTATTATTATTGTGAAAAATATTTGAATAAAATTGTTTCCTGAAAATTTAAAATAAAATTAATGTTTTTGGAAATTTTTTTTTCAAATTTTTGATTTTATATTAAGACTCTTTAAAAAACGATGCAAATTGGTTTAGGATTGTCGTTCTATTTTGTCGTTCTGTTTACCGATATTTTTTTTTGCTACACTTAAATATGCTCGATCTAAATCCTAATGCTGAATTCAAATTTTTGAAATTTTGTTAGAAATACATTTCTAACAAAACATTTATTTTTGTAATTTAAACTTTGCAC